GGACGGGGCATTGTTCCCACAGGACCAATCACCAATGGCCAACTGTTCCTACTTCGCCAACGGTGGCTCAAAAACGTCCCTCAGCCTATCTATCCTATCGATAACACTTCCCGCCTTTTCAAACCCACTTCCGATGTCCCAGCACAGCTACCTTCTTCTCCTGGCTGTTCGATGCCTCAATATCTCTTGTATCTTCCTTCTACATTTCCCAGCTCAGTCGTGTACACTTTCCTCGCGTTCTCTTGTACAACGCACATTGCGCAACCACATGAATCTGGTCTTCGCACTCGGAGCCGTATTCACATTCGAACTGGTCATCGTCTACCTTCCGAAACCTTCGTCTACGTTCTTGAAGGTCAAGGTCCCCGGTCCTGAATTCGACCTTGAGCTTTGTACCGCATCCATTGGTCCATGTAGGTACTCCGGAACCCTATTCCTTCTTTAACATTCCGTACATATCTAGACCCTCCTTATCCATGGTTTCTTCGGTTAGGTTCTGTTTTCTCTCTTGGGCAAAAGCAACGGTATCTCTCCTCGAACCCCTCTAGACCGTCCGTTTCCAGCGTATTTTGTTGTTGTTGTTGTTGTCTTCACATTAAAAACCATCCCGGTCTCTCTATCCAGTACCTCCTTCTGCCTCAATCTCTCCGTACTAATCCAGCACTTGACTCGGTCAATTTCCGTGGTCACAGGCTAACGTACCTAGAAAAGGTATACCAAAATAAAATGGACCCCAAGGGTTAGCAGAGCGATAAAATACAAGAAAACAAAAGAATCAGAAACAAATAAATAAATAAAGAGTGGAACGTGCGCACCACCAGCCTGGGGGGTAGCCTTCCGGAAGGACCCCAAGGATCAGCAGTACGTGCCAGTACAACAACAAAACAAAATAAAACGAAATAAACCAAAGACAGACGAGGACATANAAGAGGGCAACAGACAAACTAGTCGCTGAAATTCAACCGCAACATGTCACGTCACGCGGTCGGTCTCTTCTCGCTTGCTTTCTTCCCGCGCCGTTTCCTCCCGCCCCCCTCCCGCCCCGTTGATTGGTGCCGTATCTAGACTATTTTTGGGCCCGCTGTCTCCTCGTTTGATGGCTCGTTGTCGGCTGGCCTTCTCCTCGCCCTTGTGCCAAGAGGCCATAAACCTCTCAGCTCCCTGTAGCACCCCCGCGTGCCACGGTACCCCCCCCTCCAACTTCGCCGCCTCGTCCCAGTCTGGCTTCGGGATTCCGAAGAAGCTCCGCTTGTCGGGCGTGGAGCCGTGTCTGGCTTCGAACATCTTCAGGTCGTCCTTCAGGCATATCAGCCAGTTCTGCTCCGGGCTTCCCCGGCCCGGGTTCTCCCCTCCCACCAACTCGCCGAACATCAGCCGTTTCGGAAGCCGCCCGTCTGGCTGTCTTGCCACGGCCCCCGCAAAGAGCAGGCGCCGTTGACGGACAGTGGCCTCCACGCTCTGGCAGCCGACCCTCTTCAGCGCCTGGGCGTATGACAGCTGCCGGTAGGTGCCTCGTTTGCGCCGGTGTCCGATAACTCGCAGAAGCAGACGGTGGTGTGTCGTCTGCAGCAGCCGGTAGTGGTCGCGGCGTGGGGACCATGTCATGCAGCCGTATAGCAGTGCCGCCACTGCCTCCGCCTGGAGTAGGCGGGCCTTGAGGCGAAACGGTGCTCCCGGTCGGTCGAAGAGCTCCGTGGCGTATCGCCTAATGCACGCCCACGCTGCTTTGCTCCTGTGGTTGATCTCTCGGGTGAGGTCGCCCTGCTCGTTGATGAGGCCGCCCAGGTATCGGAACTCGGTCGTCTGTGCGTACCTTTGCCCCGCTGCTTCGATGGTCAGCGGCGGCGGTGGCTTCGGCGGCGGTCGCTGTTTCTCCTTCACCCGCATCACCAATGTCTCCGTCTTCCTCTCAGACACCGTCAGCCCGAACTCCCGGAACACCTCCACGATAATGGTCATCATCCTCGCCAGGCCGTCGGCGGACTTCGACACAATGCCGGCATCGTCGGCATATAGTATCACCTTCGTCAATTTCTAACTCCTTCTATGCGTCGTCTAAGACCTTGACCCACTCCGTGGGTTGTCTACCCTTCTTCTTCTTTGCCCACTTCGCCTCCAAAGCTATTCTCGGCAACCTCTCCTCTCTCATACCGCACATGCGGTACTGTCAAAGTAGCTTCCTTGCGTCTCTTCCCGATCGTAGCGATAGGATCCCCACTTCTACCCTGACGGCTGCAATACTTGTGCGCTTGGAGCATCATAGGATTTTTCTTTCGCTGCTTCATCTGGGCCGCCTCGAGCTCTTTCACGACCTTCTTAGTTCCTTCCCATACTTCTCTTGTGTACTCTAGCGGCGGAACGACTACGCTATCTAAACAACGTTCACTTTGATACGTGTATCGAGGTGCAGGTTTGCAAGTATTGGGTGCAGCTTCCCCGCTCGTGCTTTGCCCTTTTCCGCTACCTTGGACACGTGTGCATTCCACGAACAGTCTTTTGCGGCCTCTACTCCGAGGTATGCGTACTGGTCCACTAATGCAATCTCCTCGATCCCCCGCTTCCATCTATGCTCTACTATTCATATCGTTATCAGACAATCTCCACCTATCAGCAAAATTCTTTGCTGCGTCAATCTGCAAAATAAATAGAGGGAGGAAAATATATACCGTCGAGAGTGAGGAGGAGCAATGACGATTTTCAAGCCCACCAGCGGTACCTCCTGTGTTATGACTGTAGTGGCGGGCAGAAGAAACAGATACAGTGGCATTGAAATTTACACGGTGCCGATGCTGGGGTCGAACACGGGTCGTATCTCCCCACGAAAGTACAAACAAACACTATACTGGTGTTGTATCAAACGCATCATTCCGTCCGCCTTGGTTTGATTCAATTGCTAGCAACCATTTCGTTCTCTCTAATCAAGGCAAGGTCCAAGCATAAGGCAGTGCGCGGCACAACGATGGCAATGGGGGCAAAAGACCAAACCCATGTTCGCTATGGCGGCCCCCTTCCCTCACCGTACCCTCCGTCAGCTAACTCTGTTTCCGAACCAACGAGCAGTCAAATTGACCCTACACCTTGAGGAAATGATCACCCCCCTTCCCCCCCCCCCACCCC